CAGCACTTGACAATAACAACAGTAAAGAAGACCAGTTAATATCACGATCATTCATATTTATGCACAAACCATTAAAGCCAGTGAGGATGAAACTGAATAAATCTATCAGTTTCTTCAGTCTGAAATTGATCAAACATGCAATCAAGATGCACTGATCATTAATGGTGATCTGAATATGAAAATTGGAAACAAAAGGAAGAATCAGTAGTTTGAAAATATGTACCTGGTGATAGAAAATACAATGGAAATCACATTATAGAATTTTGCAAAACCAATGACTATCATTGCAAATAACTTTTTCAACAACACATGGCTTTAGAAAGTTCATGGAAAAATCTCATTATTATTTAATCCCATTTTCCCTCAAACTTTTATAAGTCCTCTTTTGTGTGTGTGCGCGTGTGTGTGTATACATACCTATATAAATATGGAAACAAATATGTTGTTGTTAAGTGCCGTCGAGTCGATTCTGACTCATAGTGACCCTGTATAGGGTTTCTGAGGAGCAGGTGGTGAACTTGAACCGCCTACAAATATACATAACTACATATACAAACATACATATCAGGGTTCTATTCTACTAGGAAAACAATACCAGTATGATATGTATGTGTATATACATATTCTGAAAACATGCAGATATTGTGATGGTCATATACTGCAAAAACATCAATCTGTTAGCTAAACCAAAGAGTACAAAAAAAGAAAACTCAAAACCTTCACAATTAACAAAAATAAATTAAAAACCTTAATCAAGTAAAGGCAAATCAAATTCACCAATACATAAACAGGGTTACAAACCCTATTTAGTAACGATGTATCTCAAGGATGGGTAACAGAGTTCTATGTCAACTTGACTAGGCCAGGATGCCACAGTTTAGCAGTTAAGACGTGCATATTCCCATGGTGATGAAACCTAACACAGGCATGGTTAACTCTGTGATGAGTGGCTATGAGCAGCCAATCAATTAAAGGGATGCTTCCTTGGGGTTGTGGCTTGCTCTTCATATAATGGGAAAGTTCTCCCCGCCCCCCCACATAGGACTCTGCAATTGTAAGCCATTTCCTCGATAATAAGCTCATCTCTCGCTCTCTCTCTCCATATATATATGTGTGTGTGCGTGTGTGTGTATGCATATATATATAAAAAACAAGATGATCCTCAGAAACCCTATACAGGGTTGCTATGAGTCAGTACCAACTTGATGGCATATATAATATGTGTGTGTGTGTGTGTGTGTGTGTATACATATATATGTACCATCCAGTTGGTACTGACTCATAGCGACCGTGCATAGGGTTTCTAAGGATCGTCTTATTAGCTTGAATGGCCGACCCTGCAGCCCAGCACATTAATCCACAGTACCACACCAAGATTCCATAAATAAATATATATATAAATGGTTATACACATATATTTCATATATATATATATTTTTTTTTTTCCACTGGTTTTGCTTCTTTAGAAAACCCACTCTAAGACAGATGGAACATTGGTTTAATATTTGAAAAGCAAACAATTTGACTCACTACATTCACAGAGGGCTCCTGGTGTGGTGTTGTAGGATCAGCATTGGACTCTGAACCACAAGGTCGGCAGTTCAAACCCACCAGTTGCTCCTTGGAAACCATATACATTGTTGCTATGAGTTGGAACTGACTTGATAGCACTTAACAGCGACAGCTTATTAAGAGAATGGAGAAATTTTTTGAAATTGTCTCACTCAATACACAAAAAGAATTGAACAAAACTCAACATTTATTTATAATGAAAATTCTTAGAACTCTAGAAATAGAAAAAACGTACCTAACATTTGGTCATTTGGGAAAAATTTAAAAAAAAAAAAAAAAGCCTACATGTAACATCATGCATGCTTAGTAGTAATCATGCATTTCTAAATGTACATTTAGATAGTCCACTGATTTTCTACAAATGTCTTCTCAACATATAATGCTCAAAAACAAAGAAGTTGTTAAGTGCCATCTGATCTATCCCTATAAAAAAATAAACATTATTATTTTTTTTTTAATGGGCAAAAGATATTAACTGACATTTCAGAGAAGAAAATGCATGGATAACCCATGAAAAGATGTTCAGGAAAATCTACTTTGCAAATGATTTTCTCTAAATCTGTGGCTTATGTTTCCCTTCTATTAACAGTATCTTTTGAAGACTATTTAATTTGAAAATCCAATGCATCGGGTAAATGCATCTATTAACAAGAATGTCAAACAACTGACACTCTCAAAGGCGGTTGGTGGGCTTGTAAATTAAATCCATACAGTCGTTTAGAAAACCAACTGGCAGCTTCTCTTATCACGTTAAATCTACACTTAGCATGTCCAGTGCCGTCTAGTCAATTCCGACTCACAGCGACCCAACAGGACATAATACCTTGGGTTTCCAAGGCTGTAAATCTTTACAGAAGCACACTGCCCAGTCTTTCTCCACACAGAGGTTGGTGTATTTGAACCACCAACGTTCAATGAGCAGCCCAACATTTAACCTACTTCCCCACCAGGGCTGCCTACCCTTACCCAAGACCCAGCAATTTGCTTCCTCAGTGTTTACACTGAAGAAATAAAGATATATGACCGTACAAAGACCAGGATACAAATGTTCATAGCCACTTTATAATTTAATACCAAAAGCTGCAGAAGCAGGAAAGACAAATTGTGGTAGAGTCATACAATGGCGTATTTTTCAGCAATAAGGAGTGAGCTACTGCTAGACGCAATATGGACAAACCACAGAAGCATTGTGTTGATGGACAGAAACCATTCACAAAAGAGTTCATCGTGTATGAAACCACTTTTTTGACGTCTGAGACAAAGCAAAGTAATCGATCATGACAAAATAACATCGATGGTGTCTGAATTAAGGAGTGCAGGGAATTGACTGCACAGGCGTGTAAGAACAATTTCTGGAGCGATGGAATTATTCAACACCTTAGGTGGAGTGTTGGTTACACAGGTAGACCATTTATCAAAGTCCATCAAACTTCACAGGAAGCATTTTATTGCACACAAATTATACCACATTAAGTGAATCTTTACAAAAAATATGTAGAAACCTAGATTAAAGATCATTGTGTTTTAATTTAATTTTTCTCTACAACCAGATTTATTCTTGTAATTAACTACTGGTATTCAATAACACACTGCCAGCCAGTTGATTCCAACTCTTACTAACCTACAGACCAGAGTAAAACCGCTGCCTAGGGCTCCGGAGGATGTAAATCTTTAGGGAAGCTGACTGTCTCATCTTTTTCTAACAGAGCCCCTAGTGAGCTCGAATCACCAACCTCTTGGTTAACAGTACAATGCTTAACTCAGTGCACCAGTAGGGCTTCTTCAATAGCAATGCAAAATTTCACATCAACTTAGCCTACACTGTGTTGCTATGAAGTGTTGTCAAGTCAGTTCCAACTCATAACAATCCTGTATAGGGTTTCTAAGGATCAGCTAGTGGGTGAGAACTACCAACGTTGCAGTTAGCAGTCCAGTGCTTATCCTACAGTGCCACACCAGAACTCCTACCCTACATTGTTGTTATTGTTAAGTAAGTGCCTTCGAGTTGGTTATAACTCAAAATGATCCTATATAGGTGTTCCAAAGCTTTAAATCTTCGAAGAAGCAGAAAGCCTCATCTTTCTACCGCCCTACATTGTTGCTGTGTTGTTAAATGCCAACTCATAGTGACCCTGTATAGGGTTTACAAGGAGCGGCTGGTGAGCTTGAACTGCCAACCCTTGAGGGTCAAACCAACCTTGCAATCCAGTGCATTAATCCGCAGTGCCACACCAGGACTCCATTAGACCATTGAAATTCCAAAATAGAATTACTCAGTGACGTTTTACATATCCCAAATTTATTTCATCCACATGAATGACTTGAGTTATTTCTGAGAGGTGCACTTAGATATAAATTAAGACTGCATGATAAATACATATTGCAAAGAAAGCAAATATTTAAGTATAGCTAGATTTGCACTGAAAGGAATCAAGGGCACCTAACCACACAAAACATTAGGGGTGATCCAATTCTGTGAGCTAGCAAATGGCTAATGTTCTCCTCCTTCTACACACAAAGAGATAAAAGAATTCATTAGCTGCTTTAGTCTGCTACCAGTGCCTGATGGGAAGAGACACAGACCACAAAATGTACAAAGAAATGAGACACAAGACAATGACTACAACTTTGTTTATAGACTCAGTTATAGCACTGGCTATATTGGGCTTTCTTTCTCCTTCCAGCCATCTGGAAAAAGGTTCACAGAGTTACAAGAATCCAAAAGCATTACAGATTACAGATAACCAAATGAATGTGCTAATATTTATTATTGCAAAAATAGTTTTAGAGGTAGTTGATTAATGAGGCATTTTTTCAAATCATCCCACTTACCACGTTTTATTAAAAAGATGATGTGATTCAAAAGCATCATCTTTTTAATAAGGAAAAAAAATGTTTTTTTGAGTGTCAGGCTACTGTATAGCAGTGGTTTTCAGAAAAAAAATCGCACGTCTAGTGTTCTTCAGTTTCTTCTTATGGCAAGATTAACTTACGACAAGCATGCCAGCTCACTTAGACACATGGTCAGCACTCAGCATTAATAAATACATCCCAGTCATGATCAAGTTATCAACATTTGCACGGTCACTTACAAGATGGATAGCGCACCGTCAGCATTAAAAGCAAGGCTCCGAGGTCTGAACCACCTGGAGCACTCCTAAGAACAGGGCCAATAGATGATTTCGATTTTAGAGGACACATCAGGTAGTGGTAAAAATTCACTCATTTTCACTTGGAATTAGTGCTAGTAAAATCTTCCAGATGTTTAAGGAAAAATATATATATGTTTCTTCCTACTTATTTTTCCACTCTCTTTGGCCTCTAAAAGGCTCACATATTAGTCCATCAAAAGAAGAACTGTCTCTGAACCAAAAACAGGGGGCAGAAAAGGAGGAAAATCCTGAGTGTTCTGTGGTACTCTGAGAGACTTAGCTTTCGGCTTCCACTTGGAAATTGTCAAACTGTGCAAATTCAAAGGAGTATGTCCCAATGGCAGCCCAGCCGTTCTTCGGGACATTCACATGGACGTTTTCCCATAGAAGTTTCCCATCCAACATTCCAGAACAGAAATGACCCTGGAGTGGAAAGAGAACACATCCCGTGTGAACACAGGAAAATGAACTACCGAAATCCATTTCTTAATTATGCATGGCACACCTACTTAATGAAGAATCAGAGCAGGGGGGACTACTTTTCCTCATGACCTCATCTTATTTTCTTGGTTTTTAATTAATTTGTTTTCAAGTTTATTGTCCTAGGACAGGGGCTGCTACATATAGCCTGTAGGCTAGCCACCTGTTTGGGTAATTTAGTGGTTGAGGAATACGGCCACACATTATCCTCAGGCTTCTGCATATTAGCAGAGTTGGATAGTTGCCACAGAGACCAGATGATCCTTTACAGAAAAACGTCTGTCAACCCGTGCCCTAAAAGAGCACACACTCTAGGAGATCAGCAGTCTTTTCGATCTTGTTCAGTACTTAGAAGACTTGGCTGTTGTAAAGTGCCACTCAGTCAGTTCCGACTCATAGCAACCCTGCACAGGGTTTCTGAGTAGCAGCTACTAAGTTTGAACCACTGACCTTACAGTTCAAACCAACGTTGACGTCAAATGCTTATTCTTTGGTGCCACATCAGGACTCCACTTCACATTTGTTGTTGTTGTTAAGTGCTGTCAAGTTGATTTCGACTTATGATGACTTTGTATAGGGTTTCCAAGGAGTAAGGGGCTAGTAAATTTGAACCACAGACCTTGTGGTTCCAACCAACCTTGAGGTCCAGCAGTTTATACCACGGCACCACACCAGTGCACACAGTAGAAATGTGTTGAATGAAATACACACCTTTTCCTTCGATACAACCTTGCAGAGCTATCATCTCTGTTTTAGAACTGAGGAAGAAACAAGGGCAAGGAGGTGACAGAACTTGCTAGACTGTCACTGTGTATCACGTGTCAGGGACTATGAGTGCTGCTCAGACTGGCTCCAACATCTCCACTCCCGGGACTATTACCTTGATTTGTGAAGTGCTTGGCACATCCCAAGCACAGTGCCAACATCTCATACACATTATCTCAGTTAGTCTTCATAAAAAGGATGGATTGCCATGAAGCTAGAGATGGGAAACTGAAGCTCAAAGACATTAACCAGGTGGGAAGGGCTCTAGTAGGCTCTGCAGTCTACTGCCCTCAACACCGTGCACTAGCACTGCCGGTATGATACTTGCTATGTGTTGAGGAGAATACAGCAAACAGCCAACGTTAAAATGTTATAATGATAAAATCTTTGTATTAGCTATCATTTGGATGTGGACAACATAAACGATGTTGGATTTTTTTTATTTATGTACGCAGCAACTATATTGATGTCAAATGCTATTTTATGCACCAGGAGTTTAGGATGAACAAGAAAGATAAGGTTCTTGTTCTAGTAGGAGGCAACATACAAGCACAATCAGTAAAGGCTGAGCGATGAAAACATGGCCAATGGCAAAGGAAGACACAAGAGTACAGGACAACAAAGGTAAATACTATTACATATACAATGCTACAATGACAGCAATACCAAACAGTACCTACCAGCAGATGTGTAGGCAGACACGCAAGCTAAACAGACTGAGGTAATGAACGGGGACACACTCACAAGTGGATATAGGTTTCACAAAGGACATTTCTACACACGCATCTGTATGTGCTGCAAATATATCCAAGGATATTATAGAGCATACAAGGGGTCAACTGGGCTTGTGAGTTTGGAACCACAGTCTCAGGAAACATCGAGGTCAACTGGCATAACATGCCACACAAAGGCAATGTCCTACATCCTACTTTGGTGAGTAGCAACTCAGCAGAGCTTGCGAGTTGCCATCTAAGATGTAACTATTGGTCTCTCCTCATCTAAAACAAAGAAGCTGAAGAAAATCAAAGATTCAAGAAAATAATTAGTCCACGGGACTAATGGACTGTGTGAACCACAGCCTCCACTACCCTGAAAGCATGAGAAGGAGATAGTGCCCAGTGACACTATTGGTCACTCTGATAGGGATATCACAGTAGAAAGTCCTAATCAGAGACAGAGGACAAAATGAAGACCACAAAATCATAAAACAGACTGAACTTATACTGGTGTGATAAGGACAAGGGGAATCCCTGAGACAGCTTTTAAGCCTGAAACTAAACACACTCCCAGTGATCACCTATCAGCCAAACAACTGTTGTGGTGGTTGTTAGGCGCCGTCAAGTCAGTTCCAACTCATAGCAAGCTACACACATTAGTTATATATGAGTCCATTGTTGCTGCCACTATGCCAATCCATCTTGTTGAGGATCTTCCTCTTTTTTCACTGACCTTCCACTTTATTAAGCATGATGTCCTCCTCCAGGAAATGATTCTAACTGATAATATGTGCAAAGAACAGGAGACAAAGTTCTGCCATCATTCCTTCCAAGGAGCCATTCAACCATACTGCTTTTAAAACCGATTTGTTTGTTCTTCCGGTAGTCCATGACATATTCAATACTCTTTGCCAACACTGTAATTTAAATGCATCAATTCTCTTCCCTTATTCATTTTCCATCTTTCACATGCATATAAGTTTAAAGAAAACATCATGGCTTGGGTCAGGCGCACCTAAGTCCTCAAAGTGACATATTTGCTTTTTAACAATTCATTGTTGGATTTTTTTTTTTTTTTGACTGCTGCTTCCTGGAGTGTTGACTGTGGAGCTAAGTAAAATGAAATCTTGGACAAGTAGCCAAACAATGCTGTTGCTAACTGCCACTGAATCAGATCCAATTCATAGTGACCCTGCATAGGGTTTCTGAGACACAATGGATGCGTTTTCATTGCCAGCTTTGCAATTAACAGTCCAGACAATAGACAAGACTAATTCTATTTAACAATAAAATAGGCTGATAGGATGATGGTGCCTGAGAGATTACATGAGATTGATCAGAGAGAGATTCTCAAAGTAGGGGGAGAGAGTTGAGATACAAGTTAGAAGAACAATGGTGATGTTTTAAGTATCAGCAGGGTCATTCCGGTGCACTGATTTCAGTGAATCTTCCATACTAAGACAAAGTAAGAAGAAGAAAATGCAGACCACTTCCGACAGGTTCAGTGGCTACACTGGAAACTTTATGAACAGAAGCAGAACATTGTCAGATATAATACCAGAAGATGAGACCCATAGGTTGGAAAGCATCCAAAATATGATTGGGGAAGAACTGTTTCCTCAAAGTAGTTCTTGGTGGTGGTGGTGGTTGCCATCAAGTTGGTTTCAACTCATGCACAACAGAACGACTGCCATCCTCACAATCATCGTTAAACTTGGGGTCCACTGCAGCTGCCACTGTGCCAAGCCATCTCATTGGAGGTCTTCTTCTTTACTGCTGACCCTCCACTTTAGTAAGCATGATTTCCTTCTCTAGGGACTGGTCCCTTAATGCTGTGAATGGAGCAAAGCTTTCAGGACCTTCATTTCCCACTGGAGCAAAATGAGAAGAAACACCTGCAAATATCGATTAATACTTGGAATGTGGAATGTACCAAGTATGAAACCAGAAAAATTAGAAGTCATCAAAAATGAAATGGAACGCAGAAAGATCAGTATCTTATGCTGAAATGAACATTCAGTATGGCAGGCCATACTGAATCAAACAATCACATGGTTTACTATGCCAAGAACACCAAATTTCAGAGGAATGGCATCACATGCATCAGGAAAAAGAGCATCTGAAGACCTAGCTTGAAATATAATGTTGTCAGTGATAGGGTATCTATACACTTACAATAGAGACCAGTTAATAGGACTATGATCCCAATTTACACACCAACCATTAAAGCCAATGACAATGATGATGAAACTGAAGAATTCTACAAATGTCTTCAGTATAAAATTGACCAAACATGTAATGAGAATGTATTGCTAATGATGATTAGAATACAAAGCTTGAAAAAAAAAAAAGCAGGATCAATAGTTGGAAAACATGGCCTTGGTGACAGAAATGTTGCTGGAGATTACATGATAAAATCTTGCAAGGCCTTTTTAAACAACATAAAATCCAACTATATACATGTAAGGAGCTCTGGTAGTGTAGTGGTTACCAGTTGGGCTGCTAACCTAAGGTCAGCTAGTGCGAAACTACCAGTGGTTCCATGGGAGAAAGATGAGGCTTTCTGCCCCTTTGAAAGATTTACAGCCTTGGAAACCCTAGGCAGGGTTGCTATGAATTGAAACCGACTCCACGGCATGCCACCACCACCATAAACATGTACTTCATCAAATGGAATACACCGGAATCAAATGGACTACACCCATGGGGAGAGACAGTGGAATAGTTCAATATCCATAGCCAAAACAAGGCCGGGCAGACTGTGGAGGAGACCATCAATTGCTCATATGCAAGTTAAGCTGAAAAAAATGAAAACAAGTCCACGAGCGCCAAAATATGGCCTCGCATATATCGCACTGGAATTCCTAACTTCCCTTTTAGCATATTCACTCAAACAGGCTGAAGGTGCATTTAGAGTCACTGCTATCATGAAACCCAAGTTGACTTTTGTTCCAGGTGATTCCACTAGCAGTTTTTCTTACTCATCTGACTTAGAGTCATCATCTCTTACTCATTCCTTTCAACCATTACAGTTTACAATAAGCAAAGGAATCATTTAAGCATCCAAAGTTTCACCTCCCATGTCCCTTCTTTCTTTGTCTTACAAAAAATCCATGCTTTCATGAGTCTGGATCCATTGCGATGAACCCCACTTCTGACACCAACCTCAAAGACTCTGAGCCACCACCTATTCCTCCCACAACTCTCTCTACTCCACTGGGTTCAGTAATCCATGTAGTGGCTACACAGAACTCAAAGACAAGAGTTATGGTGGTTATTAAAGAAGTCGACAGTTACAATTTGGGGTCAGAAATGCTCAGAGCCCAGTTGTTCCAGTCAGCTGCTGATAAATGCCCACAGGACACACCACTCTACCAAAAGCCTCAGTCTGAGGGCACTCGGTCTAGCTCCATAGGTTAGCAAACCCAGCTCCCCCACTTAAGTGCCTGGAGGCACCATACT